GTCTGATAGTATGTTTGTGTTATGATATATGTGATAGTAGCAATAAGGGGTGGAATAGTCCCCGAGGTTCGATTGTTAGGACCGATGGGTAGGTCAGCACCCCAGAACGGCTTGAAACGGGTAGGTCAGCACCCCATAATGGCTTGACACGGGTAGGTCGGCACCCCAGAATTGCCCGACAGTATGTATGCTATATGATTGTATGATATGTGGTACGATGGGGGAAACTCACTAAGCTTCGTGCTTACAGTTTATAGTTTTGGTTTCAGGTACCTCTTCAGCGAAGGGGAAGGAGCTGGCACGGTAGCAGCACATCATACACATTCGCATTGATTTTCCGCACTTGAGATATTCTGGGATTGTACTCTGACATGATGCTATTTTATGACTTGGGTTTTCAGACATGATATATTTTATGTGGTTTTCTTATGAATGCTTTTATAATCAGTTAATTAAAATGAAATTTTTGGACTCGAAATTTGGGATGTTACATATTTTCTACAACAACCATTTAAAGTAGAAAACGGGTTTGTTGGGAATTGAACTCAACCCTCCCATATAAGGTCGTCCGGTATGGTTGCAACGGACGGGTTCGTGGTCTAGCTGGCCACGAACCACAACCGTGCACACCATCCCGGTGGCTAGTGGTGGTTCGTGGTCGTGAGGAGTCGTGGTCGGGACAACGAATGCAAACGGAAAATGTGATTGGGTGTAGAGTAACGGCCATATTTAGGGTTAAAATCTTTTTTTTTTAAATTTTACTATTCAAACAACATTAAACCACTTCTATAAATACCACACCTATTCATTCATTTTACTCACACAATTATTTTCTCTTCTTCTCACAATCACACACTTCTTTTGCTTCATAGACTCAAAGCCAATGGCTCCTAAAAGGATGAATTGGTCAGAAAATAAAGAAGAGAACTTAGTATTAGCATGGGTAGCTGTTTCAGAAGACCCGGAAATACCTCCTAATTTTTGGGTAAAAGTTGGAAACGTTTTCCATCGAATAAAAAACTTTGTTTCATCGAATAAAAAACTAATTTTAAAAAAATATATGTTTTATTGTTTTGTGAATTAAATTTAAATAAAAAACTAATTTAAAAAAATATATGTTTTATTGAATAAAAAAAATATGTTTTATTGAATAAAAAACTAATTTTAAAAAAAATATGCTTTATTGTGTATTAATGTAATTTTGAATTAAATTTAAATAAAAAAAATGAGGTGGAGTGGTGTGTTTAGTGGTAGGTATCCCATGGTTAGTGGTAGAGAATGTGATGCTGATGTGACACCCACCACATATGTGGTGGGTATAACGGATGGTCTAAGAACCGTTTGCATTAACTAGTTGCGTGAAACTCACTCTTGCTTTACCTTTAGAGAAATAGTTGTCTTTAAACCTACTTCACGAATTTTATATTTTCCGAAACAACATTATTTATTCACGAATTGACAGTACTTCCACTGAATTTAATAAAATTTGCGATACATGGTATCAGAGAAACTAGTTTTGCAAATTCATAAGGCTGTGGGGAGTGGTCACACCCAACCCACCGAAAAAGCGCTGCCACCTCTGCGCTACGTCAGCTTCACCACCAACCCACTAAACATTGAAAATGGTTACCACTCCACAATTTTTTTTACATTATTTTAAATAAAAAACATAATTTATAACATAAATTAATTTTTTGAAAACATACAAAAAAAAGCACATTTCATTAATTAAAAACATAAAAATTTAAACTTAAATTACTAAAATTAAACATTACATTGTCTAAATAAAATAAAAATTAAAAAACATAAAAAAACTATAACCGTCGTCGTTGTCGTCACCGACATCATCCGCGTCGTCGTCACCGTCCTCATCCTCTTCCTCGTCACCTTCGTCATCCTCCTCATCTTCACCGTCATTTTGCCCTTGAAATTGTCTTTCCCATATGTATTCGGTCAAATCATGTCGTAGATTGTGATGTGTTTCACGGTTTTGTATTTCCGAAACCCTTGAGAAGTATGTCGGGCTGCCAACTTGTATTACTGCAGGTGAATTAAGTATATCGTTTGTGGTATATGAACAAATAGCCGTACCCTCTTCTTCTATTATCATGTTATGTAAAATAACACAAGCAATCAACACCATCGTCAATTTTTCCCTGTCCCATGTTCGTGCCGGATGTTTGATTATGTGCTACTTTTGTTTGAGGACTCCAAACGCCCGTTCTACATCCTTCCTTGTAGATTCTTGTGCTAGCTTGAGCATTTTTCCGTTTATTGTCGGCCGTAAATGTGTATGACTTGACAAATGTAGTGTATTCTGGATATATCCCATCACCTAGGTAATACCCATATTTATATTCATTTCCATTGACAACATATGACATTTCTGGTGCTTTACCCTGTAAAATATCGAAGACGCTTGGAGCACATTCAGGTCATTGTTTGACCTCGCCATACCAAAAAATGCATGCCAAAACCATAGGTCATTTGAAACAACCGCCTCCAAAATAACAGTCGACACCCCATGATCACCTCGCGTGAACTGACCACGCCACGCGTTGAGACAATTTGCCCACTCCCAATGTGTGCAATCAATGCTACCAAACATCCCTGGAAAACCATGTTTAGCTTGATGCGCGACATACAACTGTTCGACATCGCTTTTAGTCGGATGTCGCAAGTATATGTCACGGTAAAGCTCTATAACATACTCACAAAATAGATATGTACTCTCGACCCGTCCTTTTAGACATTTTCAGATACTCATCTGATACGTCTGCGGCGATGTCGTATGCCAATTGTCTAAGAGCGGCCGTATATTTTTGTATCGTAGTAAAACCGCGTTTACCTCTAACATCCCATCGTAATTGGAAAAATTCATAATTACGTGCCAAATCTCTAGCTATACGTAAAAATAAAGTTTTACTAATACGAAAACGTTCTTCGAATTTCGATAGATCATATAAACTATCAACAACAAAATAATCACGTACCAAAAGTTCATGTGCCGCCTCTCGATCCTGGTTGATCCATTTTCTATGCTTCTTCTCGACGTTTGAACTTTCGCCCCTCTCACGTACCATGTCTCGTGCCGCTGACAACAGCGTATTCAAAATCAAATCCTCATCAGAATCGTTATCATCGGATGACGAAGAAATCGGAGGTGGAAATTATCCATTTTTTGGTTTAATGTGTGTGTTTGTTTTGAAAAATATGGGTGTGTTTTAGTGAAATTATGTGTAAAATGAATCTATATATAGAGAGCATTTGAAAAAATAATAAAAAGATTTTTTTAATTGTCAAACGGTCGTATAACGTTCCAAAATCGAATGAGCCAATCAAAGCTAGCGTCTTCATCCGTCTTCCGACTCACACCACACGCAACCCACCGGACTTGGGGGCGGTGTTCACGCTTGGGGAGGCGCGCCACCTCAGCCCAAGACGCGTGACATTACCCCATACCGGGTAGCCTAAATATGTTTCAACTTTCATGAATTAAGTGATCATTATTGATATTATCTAGCTGGGTTATGGTATGTTAGAACTTAGAAAGGATCTCAACACAAATCATTTTCGAGCATCAATAATATGAACTTTTTAAATAAATCATTGGGTCAAATAAGCTCTTCAAAGTAAAACAAAAAAAAAAGCAAACTGTTGTGGGAAATTATTTAATCTAAAAGTTTTTATTTATTTATTTATTATTATTATTATTATTATTATTATTATTATTATTATTTTAAATAGCTTGTAATTTTACAAGCCCTCACGTAAACTTTTTCAATAATTGTGGTGGGTGCTCTAAAATGAATTTTGTTATTTTTAGGTTGCTTATTGTGAAAATTATTAGGAAAAATAGTTATATCTGTAGCTGTAATTAGTTACTAACTCATACTTAACGTCACTACAATTCCACAATTGATTGTAACGTCCAAAATTGATTGTCCCTGCCTGTCGAGTCTTAATAAGACACCTTTCACATATAAAAGGCAAAAAAGAACACATCTAACTGGCGAATACTTTAATCACCTATTCTTCAATAGACGATGGAAAAATATACACCACGAGAGACAAAAGGTTAAAAAGACAACACTATGGAAATATTTTAACTTATACTAAATCACACTGAGAAATGTAATATATGAGTCAAAAGAAAAGATATAACTTTGTTTAAACTTTATTTAATTTCCAAATCTACCCTCTTTCATTTGGAAACCCTTCTAACTCTTCCCACGCAATTATCTTTAGGCCTTGAATGAGGTAAATACATAATTGGACATTCTGGATTTTCCCTTTCAAACCTGCAATACAAAATAATATATATTTAATAATAATAATAATAATGATAATAATAAATTATGTTTCATCTAATCGGGAATCAAACTAGTTTTAAAATTAGTTGACTTTGAAAGCAATTTTTCAACTTCTATGATGAAACTTTAAATAAAAGTTTGACACCAAACGTATTATTTTTTATTAGATAAGCATGGAATATCTCTACTCATTTTGAGTATCAAAAAGAACTTGTTTGACCCAAAAAGTCAATACAAATTTTGACTTGGTTTATATGGAAACCTACTCATAATTTAGTAGAAAATGGTGGAGGAAGATGGCAATCTCTAGCTTGGCAAGGTCATTTCCAGGGCAAAGCCTACTTCCTGCTCCAAATGGAAGAAAAGTTCCTGGCTTTGGTACAAGATCCTGGTCAACATGTTTAAATTAGTCAATTTGTACAAGTTATAAAGCAATTGGTACAAGTTAAAAGAGACTTACATCCCATCTTGAAGGATTAAACTCTTTAGGTTGGGGATAAAGTTCAGGATTATGGTGAACACTCCTAAACCAGAGCAACACTTTCCATCCTTTAGGAATGAAGTAACCTAAGAAATATATAAAAAAAATTATACATGATTAGAACCCAAGTCAATCGTAAGTTCATGTATTTTTGGTATTTAATTATCATATATAAAAATCACACCTTTGATATCGACATCTTTTTTAGCTTCACGGAACGTCATGAGCGAAAATGTCACTAAACGAAGCGTTTCATCAATCACCTTCGAGAGATACTCCATTTGCCTATACTCTTTCAAGGTCAAACCCTCTTGTGTTGGTGGCATATTCTTAACAATCCTCTCTTGTTCTTCCTAATGAAAATTCACCCAAGTTTTTTACTTAGATTACTTTCTTGATTTTGTTGATTTTGTTACAGTCTACTAGTTTAGATTACTTTCTTGATTTTGTTACCTTTGCTATGTGGAAAAATTCGGGATGTGCTTGGAGAAGAATGGTTGACCACATTGTGATGTGTCCCGAAGATTCATGGCCCGCGTTTAGGTACATGACTAATGTATCGATTATTTCCTCATCATCTAGTTTTCTTCCTTTCTCGTCTGTAGTGTCTAGGAGAGCATCAAGCATGTCTTTCTTGGACATCCCTTCATTTGCCTCTCGTTTCTTCCTACGTTCGTGTACAACTGTTTGCAAAATGGCCACAAGGTTCTTCCTCGCCTATAAATTTGTAATTATCATAATAAACATTTAAAAGCTAAAAGTTAAGATAATACAACAAACCGAAGATAATGGCCAAGGTGTTAAATCCTTGCTCTTAGGGATGAGTATCGGAACCGGGTATCCGCTTTTGGAATTGGAACCACTTCGAAACTGTAGGTTTTGGAACTGGAACCGCCTTAAGTGGTTCCGGTTCCGGTTCCTAAAGTTATGGAACCGCCTTAAGC